GGTTGGATTCTTTTGATGATAATCCTACCATTTACGATTTCTTTAAACCTTGTGTTATCATCAAGGTTAAATAAAAAAAAAAACTATTCGTACAAGGGTATGAATACAATAGCTAAATTTCAATTATAATTACAAATTACTGGTGAATACTTACTGTAAAAAATAAAATAAAATAAAATGCAACAAAGCATTACAATTATTTGTATTTATTACACGTCGTTTGAGTAGGGATAGCTCGTCGCTTTTTTAAACCTTTATTGAGTATAATCAACATTCTTCAGTCGTATACATAAGCTCTACACCATGAATTTCCTTCATCAGAGAAAATGCCCTAAAACTCTTATTTGGATGGGATAGTTTTTGTTAATTTTCAGTAAACCATTTAAAATCACTGAATAAATTTTTCCATTCAAGATTACAAATAATTTTTTTTAAATAAGTTCGACACAATTAAAAGATGTCAACAGCAACGGATGATTAACCAAAAAGACAACTCATGTTATTAGTTTTACATACATAAGTAATCAGAGAAATTGAATTTTTTTTTATTACAACTTATATTTCACAGATTAAATAACAATAGTCTATGTATACTTACTTTCATTAGACAATTTGTACAATGCATCAGTACTGAATACATTAACGTCACTATACATGATTGCTATACGTGCGTTAATTTCGTATTCAACAACACAAGAAAGTTCAATTACTTTTTCAATTACATGAGCAAAGCAATTAAAAAAAAAAAAAAGGGACCTATGTCATACAGAAGCAAAAGTGACATAACTCAAATGACTCACGATCTGGATCAAGTCTACAATTAGAAAGAAGTTAACCGCGTGACGATAATCAGACGAGAAAAAGCAGGTACATACGTACACGTGCTACCAGATAATCTTATCGCATACACGCACAACATTGATTTACAAGCCTGCGATTTCTCCGTGATTTATTATCTAATGGCTACTTGGCACACCACCTCATCCGAAGATCGTAAGTGACAAGAGATCCCGGTCTCTATGTAAATGCGTACTTAAACTCACCGTGAAATTATCCTTCCGCTCTTCAGAGGCAATAAAAATAAACAAACAGCAGCCGGAGCAATTAAAGAATTAAAAGAAAGAAAAAAAAGCACTCCACCCGATACCACCACGAAACCCCACACGTGCGAGCTTTCAAAAAAACAAAAAGCAACTCCCAAAACAAGCCACGCGACTAAACGTCCATCCGCGTGCAAAGCGCGAACACCACTGCGCGAACTCGTCTTCATCTCCGCGCCGCTGGACCCCCGTTGGGTTCTCTCCCTCCTTCGCATTCCTTCTAGAGCCCACGTACCTCCATCCTCCGCACCAAAACACACATAAACGCGGTCGACCTACGTCACCTCTCTCTCTTCCTCGTCTCTCCTCTCTCGATGATCGCCTCCACCGCGAGTACTTACATACACGATCGCGAGCTTCTCCCAGCCACCGACTCCACGGGCTTTGATCGTATCGCCATCCACCGACCTCACGTCGACTGTACACACAGCCCCCCCCCCCCCTCGTCTATTGTCCTGAGCTCATTATCGCGGGACGCTTAACACCTACTTCCCTTATTGTTCCTGTACAACTATTGCAAAGACGTTTCTTTTGCCCACGTTGGTGCAGGTATTTCGTTGATTGGAAACGTGGGAGGAAAACGTGATGACGGCTGGATTGGTATTTATTTCCCTTGGAGCGGATCTTGAAATCAAGTGGTTTTTTTTTTTTTACCATTTACACGAGTATCATTTGATATGAATGTATACCTGCATTGTGATAGCGATAAGAGCAAGTCGAGGAAACTAGAAAGGCGGGATCGAGAATAATTTATTCAAAGACTTTCAGCGCGCGTGGATGCTGGTTGTTGGACACTTGCTCGCTTATCTGGTGGGAATTCCTTGTTTCTGGATTTTTTTATTTATTTTTTTTAATTTTTAGTATCGAGGCAGGTGTGAGGTGTAGGCAGCGTAAGGCTCATTTTCGTTTTTACGGAAGAAACGTGCTGGTGATTTATGTACGGCATACTTGCATTCACAGAAACTTGAATACGATTGGAATGTATGGGCGTATCGACAAATGCAGGATTTTACTGTTACTTTTGAGGTTTTTAAAATTGATTTTTTTTCAACTTTCTATTTTTCTCGAATCAGTAAGTTACGCGTATAATTTTACCATTAATTATTTTGTCGAATGGTTTATTTTATCAATTAGTTAAAACCGATCGTGCGATCGATGACTACTGTAAATATGTTTTCAAACAGAGACTTGCAAACATTGTTAAAATAAAATTAAAAAATGTTAAAAACCCAAAATAATAACTATCGATTAATAATATTAATGAGATGGATAAAATGATGGTTATTATGCAATACAGTAAATCCCAAGGGTAAATTTTCCAAGACAAAAGAGAATTAAAATTTTTTATCATAATGGTGATGAGTGTAAACTCAAAATTATGTAAAAAAAAAAAAAAAGAAAAAGTAATTAAGAATAATAAAAGTAGTATTTTCAAATGCTTAGTTCCTGTTTTATCAAACCATACAAACATTCAAATTGCATTGTTTAGTTTGAAATATATTACTAAATATGTTTGTTTTTATAGTACAGTAAAATTACGTGTAAATGGTTTGTATTTAAAACAGTATTTGGGATGAATAAAAAAAATTCATTTATACCTACAAAATGAACAAATTTCTTTATTCACATTCCCATGAAATCAATAAATCATACAGCACTTTATCACTACAAACATAAGTACGTATTCGATGTCGATTAATTTCCTTAAAGATAAAAACGGAAAAGGAACTCTTGCGCGATCACATAATTTATACTTTTGACTTCTGCTACATAAGAAAGTTCACAATATACATGATAACGCTAGAGGGGTTATCCCCTGAAAACTTCTACGTGAATCCAAATCGCTTTTCTCACACTTTCTACAAACGATACTCAATATAAACTGCCATGGGTTATTTTTATTTTCTCTCTTTGAAGATAGTAAGTCATTGTGTCGTTGTTTGTATCATCACAAGTGAAAAGCTTTAAGATCACTTAAAATTTTTTTAAAGTTTTGAGTTTTTTTATTCAACCTAAAAGCAATTAAAAACTTTCTAATGTACTAGAGAACCTTAAGGGCATCATTATTTATTAGATATAGATATAATACATCTCGGTAAAATCTTGAAAATTACTTTTTTGTAACTATGTAGGTATTTAAAATACTAAGGTAATTGGTACTGTCTGCTTTGCTAGTGTTTTCTAAATTATATTACAGAGAAAATCCAAGTAATTATTACTTATATTTTAAAGATTGTAAATGTGTGTTAATTCACTTAAATAATGGGAAGAATATTATCACTCTCTTCCATCCATGTTGTAATACTACCGATATTAAACTTTGCGGTCTAGCATGACGTGAATGAGCTGAAGATTAAAGTCAATTTGAACTAAAGTCACAGCACTTGTCTTTATTAAAAATTCCAAAGACTCAGCAACCAAGTTTGAAACGTACAGCTTACAGTCGTCAAAAAGTGGGTGAACCGAATTTGACGGATCTCAAGGAAATTTGTGCTATCCCACAATTTTCATGAAAATTCTATCAGCCATTTCATTGTTCTTTGCAATTTATTTATTTTCCATGGAAATCAGCAACATTTACTTTTTTTTTATGCCATTTCACAAATAAAAAGTAAACTTTGAAAATAAAGCCACTAAAAATAATAAAATATTAATTAAAAATATATCAGATCAATTAAAAACCCTAGGTAATAACACTTATCACTCACAGCAACAAGAAGCACAAAATAGCGTGTAGTTTATTAAATTAAACTTGATCTATGTTATGAAAAAAAAAGATCCAATTAAATTCAGCAACACGACTTTCGTATCCAATTACTTGAGCTAAATGTCAAACCTTGCGATGTATGCGATAAAAACGTAAGGATCCTTAGATTTCGTTCAAATAAAAAGTCAAGGTAGCTCTTGACAAAACCTGTTAAAAACTTACTAACTGCTTTTGCCCTCCAAGAGCTATTATAGGTATACAGTTGGTAAAATACGTATCTCACGGTCTTTCCTCGACTCTTTGCCTCGTAATAACTACAAATTGTGTACTCCATTTTCCGTTGAAACTGTTTCAGAAGAACTTGTCTCTATAGCCTTGCGAAATGACTTCTCCCACCCCCAAATATTCCTGAAAACAAAGAGGAGTAAGAAAAGAAGTCGATAAATAACGCTTCTTGAAGAAAAGTGTCGGTTTGAGGGTCTGTATATATACAATGCACAAATGGTTCTCTGTTCTTTGACGATTGTTTCCAACTGAAACACTACCCACTGTATGAGTCCGAGTACAAAGAGCTTTTATTATTTTTTAAAAACTTATGTTGCTATCGATTTTAACAATGTGGTCAGCTGTAAACTACACTTCCTTTGTATTATTACATAATTCATGTATACATAACTATTTGGTTGGTTTATTAATATTATGACCATGAAATGGATGTTTAAAAACAAATACTTACAAAGTACAAGATAAGAATACCTAGAACTAGTTCAATAATTTAAGGGGCTTCACCCCCTGCTCATTAAGTGGGCTAACCCTCAATATTATATATACATACATATATTACATTTTCATATTGTAAGGAACATCAACAAAAGAAATTTCTAATCAATTTGTACTTGATTAATCTTTAGCCATCACGCAACAAACGAAGGGGCTGTAGTCACAAAACAATGGATATTTTATGAAAGATCCAGTTAACATTGAAGAGTGATCCATCGCGTTTGTCGAATAAATATCGATGGAATTGAAACCTAAATAACCCCTCAAATCCCTCCAGCTATAATGCTAACCACACTAAGCCACCAAAGTTCTGATAAACAATATAAATCTTAACATAATCAATACTTGAGTAAATATGGATGTGAGTCAAATAAGTTATTCATGCTTTCTATTGTTCTTGGCCACATTTGCAGACAAACGCAGCGCGCTATCCAGTAGTGGTAAAGCTCGGCCATGCTCACAGCGGTGTTGGCAAAGCCAAAGCCGAAAACGTCCAGGAATTCCAAGACCTGGCTTCGCTTGCTGCTCTCACCAACAGCTACTGTACGAGCGAGCCCTACATTGATACAAAATTCGACGTTCACGTCCAAAAAATCGGCACCAACTACAAGGCTTTCATGTGAGTCCTCTCACTCGTGGTTTGCAAATTTTTTAATTTTTTAATTTCATAAAAACAAGACGGTATTTTTTAAGAAATTGCGAGACACTAAAGATTCTTGATTTACGTTGTTCACAAAATAAACATCAAATGTTCAGTACATTACAAGGGTCTGCACTTTTCGTAATACACGAGCACTTGTACACTTGAGTTTTATTCACAATTGAGTAAATAACGTCCGTGAAATTTTTCGTACTCATTTTCTTTATGCATAATATTTTTTGTTTTATTTCATTAAATTTTCGAAAAATCAATATCAGAGCATCACAGTAACCACTTTGGCACTGCATCAATTGTAATTAAATAGTTACAAAAAAAAAAAAAAAAAAAAAAAAAAAAAAAAACATGCACAGGCGCAAGAGCATCAGCGGCAACTGGAAGTCGAACACGGGCTCGGCGATGCTGGAACAGGTCACGGTGACCGAGAGACATCGTACCTGGGTCGACCATGTGGCCCAGATGTTTGGTGGTTTGGACATATGCGCCATCGAACTGCTCGTTGGCAAAGACAACAAAGAGTACATTATCGAGGTCAACGACAGCGCGCTCTCGCTCATGGGCGACACGCAGGAAGAGGACCGGCGCCAGATTGCCGATTTAGTTATCGCTAAGATGCAGGTAATCACCGCGTTTTTTTTGCTTCTGGAAAATTATCAATTTTCGTTCATTTCGTTCAATCCTTAAGATACGTTTAAAAGTTCGTCGCTCTCAAATTCTCACGTGTTTTAAAAAATGCATGAGCTTTTTCTTTAACATGAAACCGCTCTTGGATTAAATGACCTTTTTCATTATGAATGAGAATCAATGAAGTTAACGAAAACAAGGTCTTCGCACTTCAAAGTCTCATTAAAATGTCTGAAAGTTCAAAAGACATGGAACAACATTTAATGTCTTCTAGAGTATTTGAAGGAGATGGAAAGCCGTTTGATTAATTTGGTTTTTTCAATCCCAGGCCTTCTGTCGGCCACCGGCAGTGCTGACGAAGACAAGTTCTCGGGGCTCGATGTCCAGCTCCTCCCAGCTGACGAGCCCAACGGAAGAGCGCACCCTGTCTTCCGGGGGTCAGTCGGTGGGTGCCGGTGGTGCTCCAACAGCCACCGGCTCGCACGGCAGCATTAGCTCGGTCACCAGCGGTATAGGCTCGATAAGCTCGGCCAACATCGACACGAGCACTACCTCGGGGCCACCGTCGATGCTCCCACCTGGGCCCCCGGATCAACATCCGCCACTCCAGCGACGGGACTCGCAAGGTCAGTATACGTGGTAGGACTTGGCCGTGCTTGCTCAAGGATGTCAATGGCTCATTCCTCAGAACCATAAAAAAAGTACAATCTCAAAAACTCCGTTTCTCAAATCTTTTAACAACCTCGTTTCTCTAAAAATTATTCGATTTCAAAGATTAAAGTTGCGAAAGTTGTACGGATATTGCAGAAAACGCCATATCATACTGCTTTTTCAAGATGCATATTTAGCTAGATTTATCTCACGTGCTTCGCAGTGCTATCAAGTGATGGAATGACCCTTCTTGCATTCCTGCATACATGTTTTGGTTAAGAAAAAAAAAAAAAATGTTCACAGCGTCTCAATCGAGTACAGTGAGCAGTGGGGCGCCATCAGTGAGTAGACGCCAGCCGGACGAGCCTCCACCAGTGCCGCCAACCTCGCGGATGCCATTCCAACGCCAGGGCAGCCAATCGCAGGCGCCGAGCGAAGACACGGAGGATACTATGAAAAATCTGCGCAAGACCTTTGCCGGTATTTTCGGTGACATGTAAGCGCAGGTTGTTAAGCGAAATATCATCGGAAGTTCCGTTTAATAGCAGGCGCTGTTATATACGTATTATACACACACATTATTTCTCCTTTATCGATATAATGTTGAAAATATTGTACTGCATTCACGAGACTGACAGAGACACGTTTCCTGATGCTCTTTTGAGTTTCAAACGATTCCACGTCGTTGTATTTAAAGCATGTATACAAAAGTACGTGTAAGTAACGTTAAATGCACAAAATCTGAAAACTCCAAAGACTCCATAGCAAAGGAAGTAAAAGGGATATCAAAAGCGCTACTTGTTTTTGCAGCGTTTCTTTTTGGTATCACCTACGCTTCCTCGATGTATGAAGAGAACCAAAAATTTTGCACCGTCCTCGAGGTCGTTGGTCTTGAGCAGCGCAAAATAGTTGCTATTGTTTTTACATTTTTTACGTTTTTCTTTCGACCAACCGAGGCACGAATGAACATCTAACGTTCGAACATTTTCTCCCTTTTACAAATAAAAATCTGAAATATGTATACGTGTCGGAGATATTTTTAGGTTGTTTTATCGACAAAGTGGTCTTCCTTCTTTTTTTATCATTATTAAATGACTCGTTGTATTGTTGATGGTCGAATTGTTGATTTTACTTTGTATATCACTTGAGCCTTTTACCATTTATCTCTTTTGTTAGCTGGCGTTTATCTTCATCAATTTAGGGCCGGTAAAATTAATTGTTTTGATGATGGTTAAAAAATGTGTGTACTTTTTTTTCTGAAGTAGCCACCATTAGTAGTTTAAAACTTCCTAACGACCACGTATTCACATAGTTATGACTTTTTGGACGAACGACGTACAATATGGTAACTCTACATTTCGGCTCTTGCCGAGAGGAGTCAGGACGATATGAGTAATGGGACATATTTAAAAGATTTAAAAAATAAGGTTAAAAATAATTCGCTTACATACAGCCAAGAAAGCTGATTTTTCCTCCAAAATAAATAGCAATAATCTTTGAATTCTTCGGTAACTCTTGTATAAGCCAATCGTGACTTTGGACAAATTTTTGGGGACGAGGAGGAATTTTATATTACGTATAATCAGGGAATAGCACGAGAGTAATGATGTTATAGAAAAATAATGTTCCTTTTTTCATTTTCGTGAATGAGACACATAATAAAATTAAAATAAAAAAAGATAAGAAACTAAAAATAATAAACAAAACATAAATCAACTTATTTCATGATGATACATGCTTAGCGACCACATACGTAATATAAGTTGCTTCTTTGTATTAATGCAGGCGTATTAATATATCCACGTTAAGTCTTTATATGATTGATATATACACAACTAACGTAAGGTTCAAGAAAAGGCGATAAATTTAAACCGCGTTTTGCTTTACGCGCATAAAGTATACAACATGTTGATGGCGAGGAAGAAAGAAGTACGAGATATATTATTAGCCGTACTATTATTATATATTGTAACTGTTGAGTACATATAATCAAAGGAATAAAAAAATATATAAAAATTAAAAAAGCAGNAAAAAAAAAAAAAAAAAAAAAAAAAAAAAAAAAAAAAAAAGAAGCTAAAACAGAAAAACACAAATTTTAGTATTAAGATTTTGAGGTGTCTTGTTGTTGTAAAAGATAAGCCTACGGGCTAAAGTATGAGGAATGCACATTCTTAAAAGTATAGTGTAGAAGCTCACCACCGAAGGGAAAGACCAATCTGATGACGGGCTACGTCGATTTATATAAAAATTAAAAATGCAAATGAATGAGGAAAGAGGACATGTTGCTTGCATATACATGTATCATATCATCGAAATCGTGCAAAATATATTCATATATTACATGTAGATCCATGCATTTAAGAAGCATAATAAAAATAAAAGTACAGAGAAAAATTAAAACATAACACATGGGATTATATGCATCCATAAATGATACGTTTACATGTACAACAATTTTGTTAATGAACCTCGTGGCTGGACCCAATTAGAAAAGAAAAAAAACTAACAAGCAAACAAACATACAGTGATACAGCAAGAATAGAAGACCAGTCGCTTGCAACGATAGCTCCGTATCTTGAGTGCCAAGAGGGGGATAGGAATTTAATGTCAGATAAAATAAAGACCGCTTACTTATTATGTAGCAGTGGAAGGAATAAAGTGTTGTTGTGTATAATTGCAGATCGACGAAATAAACGCGAATAATAATGATAATAATGGGAGCTAGTAGTTTGCCTAGGATAGGATAGATGTTACGTAATCATAGATGTGTGCACAAAACACAAAATATAAAGATCAGATGGTGGTGACTGATGCCTTTGACGAAATGTATTGATGATGTTATATGAATGTAAGGTTGAAAAAACTTGACGATTCATCGAATTTTTGTTGATTTTGTTGTAGAACGTTGGCCTGAGCATAAATATATTAGAAGCCACTGCATATGTTTAACGCAACGCACATAATGTTACATACCTATTTTTAAAAATGCTGAAAGTAGTACAATTGTTTTTTTTTTAGATTATTTTGATGTTGCTTATAAATAATTTACACTATTACAATTTGATTTTATTATCAAAAAATGAAATTTACTGTAGGAAAAAGGACAAGAAATAAAATGCCGGTCGACTTGGCCGTGAAAATAATAAGAGTAAAAGCAATAATACGTATGAGTATATATATATATTGGCATTGAAAATAATCTCTACACACGCACTGTGCAAAATGACAAACGTTTCAAGAAGTGAGTGCTAGTACAGGCACTTGAAGGAAACTCGCCGAGACTTTTCAATGTAGGTCAAAACTTTATAGCCCAAGAATTTTCCATGGCTATTTTGGTATATCTTGTTTTAAAAATTTTGTTTATACCTCTTATACTTTCCTGTTTTTCCATGGATACTGAAAATAATACAGAAAAAGTACGTGTTAATTAAATGTTTAGCAGATACTGGAAAAAACATAGATTACAATCATTGCAAGTGTAAGAGATGAGGATTATTTTAAAGCAGTACAAGTGTATCAAATACGTCGTATTGTTTATCCTGCATTACAATTCTAACGTTTCACATATCCCCTGAATACCTGATAAAAGATATTTAAATTCTATTTAAAATTTCGAAAGAGCCTACTGTATTTGATAAGAGTAGTGGTAATAATATTTATGATTAGCTAAACGAAGGAGAAAATCGGCACTTTTATTTAATTAGAAAAGTGTCAAAATATCTAGAAGGAAACAATATATTGGAGAACTTGTATTTGGTTGTAGTAACCGTTCTTGTCAAGCAATCCTTGTTGAAGTGTTCGTGACCTCGAAAAAATCATTAATGTTTATGAATGATATAGAAACAATAAGGTGCACATAAGAGATAAAATGTTCTAAGACCCTATTCTAGTAAAATCAAACATCAAAAGGCGTTTTCATACCAATTTTTCATTTACACGGTGACTTTTGCGAATCTTTATGATGGAAAAACAATACTGGATCCACAGACTTTATAAATATTTATTCCATCATCGGTAAAATATGTGAATCACATCGTTACGAGATCCACACGAGCATTTTAATCCCATTCATAAGGAGTCCACCCACTATAATCAAATTTATAAACCTTTTCAAAGAAAAAAAAAGCAAGGAAAAACTCGCTGATCTTTTAATAGGTATGATTCAGTATTCGATCACAATATTATTCAAAGGCATGCACCGAGCTGGTCAAGATTCAACTATTGTCTTTGGTATATTTAAAAAACGGTCTATTCGGCTTGTGCATGACGAAAAACTTTTGAATGATAGTAAGACACATGAATTATTCAATCATTTTTTTTCAACTTGTTTTCACGAAGAACTGGATTGACGTTAATTTCACGTTAGTTGTGTCTTACATCAGACCTTGAACACCTTTATTTTCAAATAACCGTACATCATATTTTTCTCAACTTTTCCAAATGTGCTAGATGACTCTATGTATTATTATTGTAAAAAAACACATGGATAAAAGAAAAAATAATGCAAAAACGAATGAATGAATGAAAAAATGAAAAAAGATGTAAGCTACATAATAATAATAGTAATTTATTAGATAATTATAGAAAAAATAATAACGGTAATAAAAATAATCATGAATATATACAAACAAACGTAGACGTGCCGATGGTAGAGAAGGCGCGCCCCTCGCGTCTCTCACACGCACGTTATACCTCCTTGATTTCAAACGCGTGCTAGCCACTTATATATAATATATATACAAGTGTATATATTTAATACATACCATACAAGTATATAAATGTGAAAATAGATCTACGATACACGGATGATCAGAAATTAGTAAGATTTTGGTTGGAAAATTTTTGTTCTAATTAATTTGGAATATTTAAAAACACCAATTGATGTATCTCATGGCTGTAATATAATATAGTGCTCACAAATTATTGTGTTACTATATTAATATATAATAAAATTAATTGATTGGAAACAATAAAGTGCTATCAAGTCGAAATTAAAAATTATAAAACTAGTTTTTTTTTTATTATTGCAAAATGATGGGACAAATCTTAAAAAATAATTTTGCCCCATACTCTGGATGAATTAACACAAATATGCTACAAAAAGTTTCCCTTTGGAGTGCTCAATAATAAAAAAATTTTTTTTTGAGGCACACTTTCAGGACACAAGTTTTTTACTCTCTACGAAAACATAAGACAATTTTTAATTATGCTCAAAAAGTGAAACATCTTTACAATTAAAGACATTTTCTTACAATTCTTTTCGATAATTAAAGAATAAAATTCTTAGTTTTATTTTGTCTGGGTAACCATCAGCTTAAAATGAAAATTTATTTCTGGTTTGAAGTATAAACGTCCCAGAATTGTTTTCCGAAAATCACGTCTGTTTTTGCGTTTAAAAAAATTCCCTAGCTTACAAAAAAAAAATCATCGTTGCAAAAATTACATGGTTAAAAAAAAAAATATGATAGTGATACTGAAATCTCATTTGATAAAAGTATCTAACGAGTTCTCATACGTTTTTGAAGATCTTGGTCTAAAAGTGTACTTCAAAAAAATTTTTTTTCAGTTTCCGGCAGCTTTTCAATAGAAAAACTTTTTACAAACTTTTCCACACCTTATACATTTACGTATACATGTGATTATGATTAATGTGTAAACGCATCATAACTTACATACAAGTATAGAATTCACATGCACATGTACCATACACTTATACATTACTTAATATATAAAAAAAATACATGTATACATCAAATGTATATAATTAAAGTTAAAAATTATTATTGAAGTAAAGAACATATATTATATATTATATTAAAAAAAGAAAAAATAAACTTAAAAAAAGCGCTAATGGTTCACTCAAACTTGCTATACATGTTTAAACGTTCCGCATTTTTTTTGAAATAAAAACAAATATTCGATTGATAACATTTGCTTGAAGATTGAAAGTTCAAAATACGGACTAAATGTAACAAAAAAGAACGACGATTCTCTAACTAGTATCAAGTATTATAGTCTTCAACATTGTAGTAGCATTCCATGATTCCAAGTTTTTAAAACAACACTTGTTAGTGACTTAGCAAACTTTGACTTAACAATCGTCTCTATCAATGTAAACTCTTCTGTATTTATACACGGATACCCCCAACTATATCTTACCACCTTTTACAACTTTATCGTTCATGACTCTATGCGTGGGTTCACCCACGCGTACGCATCCAGATTAAATTCAATGCAGCATATCTGCTCACAGTACGCAGATCAAGTTTCGGTGTATATTGGATGCGTACCTGAAGTTGATGATTGCGATGATAGGCTCGTACATCTCTACTGGTAGGGAAAAGGTTTATATGATCATTTCTTTTAGATATGGGCGATGGTTTCCATAAAAATCAGGCAGGATGTAACTGGTGTACTCAGTTAACTGGTAATTGGATTTTTTTGCATGTTAACATGAGAAAATAATTATAGGAATGAGATAAAAATCATCAGTATAGTTACATCAAACTTTTTTTCAATAAAAATGTAGTAGGTACTTGTACCTCACATAGAATTCATATTATGAGGCTTATATCAGTATAAATGTATGATATTAAGTGTACGTTATCGCTGCTGATCCTCTGAAAAATTTTTACATTTATAAAACAAGATGTTTTTCATGTTTCTGAGTGTCTCGGAATGAGAGGTGGAAATATCGTTGCAAGAAATTAATTGTAGTCAGGATTCAATATACCTAATATTCTTTAGCAAGAAGCATCTATAAATAATTCTTTCAAGGAGAGATTACCTTCACATTTTGCACGTTCTAGTGAATCAATATCGCTTGCAGGTCATCATGTAATTCGAGTACAAACCAAATAATTGTATTGGAAAAATACTATTTTTAACTGAATGTCAAATGAATATACATATGTCATCTATAAACTAAATAGAACGGTGAATCTACCCGATATTTCTATTAACTGGTTGCGTTTCTCTTCAATTAATCTTATAGGTACTTGACAAAAAAAAATAAAAATTTATATTTTAGGTCAATTATTTATCGAAGGTGTGAACCAAAAAAATGAACGATACATATACTTACATACAGAGATTGCAAATGTAGGTGCCTCTATAACAATTGTTTAAAAAAACTCTAAAAGTATTCACACATATGTATTATATGATAGATGACAGATTATAATATATTATAAAACTATAATATACAAGAATAGATTGAAAAATTTATAACATAACTTTGGAAAGAGTAGATAAAGGAAAGTAGAACAACGAATCCTTTTCAAGACTATGTGAAAATGAGTATGAATCGAAGGAAGCTTAGATGCAACCGTCATTATTGTTGTTATCGCGTCATTTTTGTCGAAAAAACAAATAAATGCATAAAGAAGTAGAAAAATGAAAAGAAAACTAGAGAAAAAAAAGCATATTGTATATTTGCAAAAAAAAATGAGGATGCGGGTTGTGAAAGGACATTCAAGAAGAGTATGAACATCACGAGGGAAACGACGTTAAAAAATGGTTTATTCTAACCGATTATTCATAACATGTCTATTTGATGGAAATAAAAAAAAGTTTGGAACAAAAATTGTGGGTTGTATCTAATGTCGTCGTTGTTATGTAATTGATTATGGAAAAAATATTATTACTCAGTAGTGAAGGCTACAGCAACTGGTTGGATTGCCCTTCCGTTGTTGGAATTTTTCTAGCTTTTAAGTGTAAAAACGCTACGAGAGCCGGCATGAACAAAAAAAATAGTAATAATAACAGTAATAGTTGATATTGCTCGGTTTGCGTTATTTGGTATTAATGGCTGGGATTATACATATAATGTTCTGTATTCAGGAAAAAGCGCACATTAAAAATAGAGTTGAAGGAAATGGGAAAATAATTACGAGATCAGATGAGATAAAAAAAAGAATACATCACTGGCAGCAGTCACGAGTTAGTAAAGAATCGGTAGTGACATTTGCACATTATACATAAAGCACAAACATACCATTTAGTAATCTCATTGTGACGAGTTTAAGTCAGAAATCATCAATGGTTGGAGGAGAAAATCACTTGCTGTTGCAAAATTTCAAGATTTCATGACAAACTTATTGATTCACTCGAAAACAGCGTTTTATAATTTACTCATTTTATTTGTAACCACAGATTATTTAATACATTACATAATTTTTAGACAAAAGCATAAAGCCATAAAATTGCAAATATCACAATTCACAATTTTTGTTGTTGCAATTTTGCAATCCCACTTGCGTTTTGCGTCCTCTATGATACACAAACATTACATAAGGCAAAAAAGCTACTTACATCGTATAAAAAATGCTATGTTAATCTTTATGAACATGATATAAATTGATACAAAACGTTAAACAAAAGTATCATGTATTACAGTAGGATACTACGACTCGTACAAGTTTTATATATACTTATATATATAAATACCTTTACATATTTCCTGTTCATTTCTTACATAATAGGAAATAAACGAAACACCAAAATGTTTTTATCGATGTTACGTTTGTCTGATGAAGTCATCATTTTAAACTAGTGTGTATCGTACCTATATAATATGATTGTCTGTTAACTATTCATAATTTTCATGTAAGATGCAGTATTCTTATTGCAGGTAGGAGAAGTTTGTTTGTTTTTATTATAAGAAAAAACTAAAATTATAGCTGTTTATTTGTTATGCAGTTTATTGGACATGTATATGATTGTCTCATTTGTGAATAATTTGTGATTTTAGAGGCCATGGTGATAAACATTTTTATGGCTAAAAACTTATGTTAAATTAAAAAAAAAAAGATTGAAAAATTTTATTTTTCCGCTAATTTACAGAAATAACGCACTGAAAATAAATGTATTACGGAAGTTTTTACATTATGTTTGGGAAATGCAAAAACTTAAGTAACCAAATCATTTTCGTAGACTGTCCCACAAATTCAATGTAAAGTTACAAGCAGACAAATAATGTACGGATCATGTGCCCTGCAACAAACGATGTGATGTTTGATATTAAATTAAAATTTTTTTTTTAATGAGCAACATATACTCGTATTTAATATTATAGACACATTTTTGACTTGATTTCAATTAAAAGAATGATCTGAAAAATATTATAGAATGGAAAAAAACCGATTAAAATTCTGATTTCATAGGTTACAGAAGCTTAATTTTTGCTGATTAAATTAGTTATATAGCTTGATGAGTCTAACATACCAAGCCATTGTCCGTAAAAAAAAAAAAAAATATTAAACTAAATTAATACTGGAAGCAAAAATTTTCATCTTATTTTTCAATAATTTGGCCCACATTGTAACACTGTAGACTTCAAAATGATTTTACTATTTGAACTGAAATGGCGTATGTACAAGACGCAAATGCACTTGCTATCGTATACGTGAAATTGACATTAAATTAAAAATAACGCTACATATTGACAAACAGAAAAATTTGAAAAATAAAATACTTATTCAAAACAGCGACAATGTAATTGAATTTTTTCTTTATTGTGAAATTTTCGATTGATCTAGGGTCATGAGCTGTAAGATCGACGGTTAGCACGTATATAACTTTATGAGGTGTGCGTATTAAAAAAAAGAGGGGCAGAGAGATCATTGATGTGGAAGGAAAAGAAAATTCCTTTACCATTTAGTAATAATTAATTATCTCCAAGACACGATGTATACTCCAAAAGTGTCCTATTGTAGACATCTGCATCTGTTGAAACATGGTTAACACACTTGATGTATTATTCAAATCTGTACCAATAAACAATGATTAAAATAAACAAAAAGAAAAATATATTGTAGGCATTTTAATTATTTATAATAATAATTATTTACATCTACTATTCATTTATTTGTCAGCTATAAGACTATTACCTACATGAAATTACTTTCACTTGTACTTGTATTAATTGTACTTAGTGTAATATTTAATCTAAGTATTTACTCTCATGGGCGGTACTCACACGATCTTTCGTGCCTTATAAAGTTTCTACAAGCAATCTAAACTATATCATCCTGAAATTCGTCTGATTGTATCACACTGATCCATCAAGGATTCTATATGAAATTTAAACGTAATCCATAATGCTTCCACGTCCCAGCAAAAATACTTTTTCTCAAAATTTTTTTAGAGTTCTCTTAGATTTCTAATGTATATCTTAAAGATGTCCTTGAGAAATTTCACCTTCAAAGATCACTTTAAGATGGGCATTAGAAGTTTACAAGACATCTACAAGAAATCTCCAGAAAATTTGTTTGCTAGGGGAAGTCCATGACTTAACATTCTAAAAATGCCAATATTAATTAATAATAAATTTTTACAGCTGAATATTTCTGATTATAATCCATTGCATTATAAGCATCAGTATAACACAAAAAGAAACCAGTCCAAACATTTTATGTTGAAATTACAAATCGATAATTTAATGTATAACAATCAAACCTATCTGTTTTTATACTATCGAGTGGATGACAACCGTGAGTACTAATTGTTATATGTGCTGTAGATAATATTAATAATTGTTAATTGGAAAAAAACATTCTTAAGTAAATTGGCAATCGGTCCACGCAGAATCTATTTGAGTTTTAGTTGGATTAGATACGAAATCCTTTATGACTCTACCTAAGTGGTAAAGTTTTGAAATGAAAAGACTGATTGATTTTTGTCCATACAAAATCCTTAAATCGTTTTTTTATTACTCATTGAAAAAACATTTACAGATTCATAGTGTATTTCTTATGAAATTAGCATCATGTTCAAAGTCACTGCAGAGCCTTCTTAAATATATACCTCTACAATTTGATTTTTTATATAGTTTACTAAAGATGTTAAAAATTTCTTTACCTAATCTATTTCAACTGTTTAAATAATGTTGTTCAATTTAATAATAAAACTACTGTCTTCTTGCTCCTTTGCCATAATTAAGGAAATTTAAATGAAAAAACTTGGAATCTTGGAGCATGGCTATTTAAATAGTGTTGTTCAATGCTTATGAATAACGATCTCATCCAATCTTATACCTTATTCCTTCTCTTTACGAGTGTTTCTTTCAAGCAATTCACAAATACAACGGCAGTCAGTACGCAGTATAACTGGCCCACGAGCACGAGTATAAGAAAGAGCAGGAGAGATAGAGATAGAGAGAGAGAGAGAGAGAGAGAGAGAGAGAGAGAGAGAGATGTTCAAAGATAGAGTGGGGAGAGAGAAGAAAGCGAGATGACCTCTTGAGTGCCTCTACAATATATGAACAGATAATGAGATAGTGCGATGCCCCCTGATGTAGATGTACTTGTATGGTCTACAAAAGAACTCTGACAGTTCAACTTTCTGAACTTTTTGTATCTTTTAAGAAGTCACTTTTGAAGAACGAATTAAAATTTTTTTTTTTTTGGCTACGAATCAATTTTTTTTGTTATGAGACTGACAGTTTATTGTAGTTCTGTGTTATCTTAATACAATATTTAAAATATACTTTTTACTCTGTTAAGTTTATGTATTTTAAATCGTTAATTTTTTTGTTCGATCAAGTAAGAAACTACTACTTAAAATACAAATTAAAATTTTTCTAATAAAGTACATTAAAAATAAATATACATAATTCAAAAGCTTATGATGCAGTATTTATAAGATTTATACAGCAATACGCAGAATGTGTACCTGAATTTTAAATAGTAAAAACCAATATATTTCATTAAATTTTTTTAGAAATGTTTTGTAAAAACGTTAAACATGGTACTTTTTGGATACATATTACCTCACTTCATTTAGTTTCCTTAAAAATTTATTTAGTCTTTCAAAATTGTTGCTTAATTGACATTTAGTGAAACTAGGTATTACGCTCCTTTAAAATAAAATCAATCTTTTTATTCAAAATCCAATTTTTATAAATTATACAGCACAAATCTGCTATCCAGATTATGTGGATTAATACACTCTTAGCATTTGAATCGACCCGCCGTAGGCAGTGGAGGAGACAATGCGCAATCTGAAATCTGCAGTCAATGGACTAAACGACTGTACTTAAACGTCGAGCCCGCCGATTTTAGTTGCTGTTTGGACCCTGTAAAAGGATCCAGTACTTTCGTCTTATAGTATATTTATATACATAGATATACAATAGGAAAAGAGCAACGAAAGATGCGCAAACGTACGATGTTATACTCGGCGCACACAGAGTTACCTCGACGCCAACCTGGACAAACTACAATTCCATCATGATAGAATAAAAAGAAAATGTGCTCCGGCGCATCTAACCAAATGATCAGCCAATCGCGTGCCTTCCCAAAATTAGCCATTTTAAGAAAACGTTCGGTACTAACCAATGAAACGATGTAAAATGTAGACAAACATAGCCACATTGGGAAGGCGCAGAAACGAACGAATTCGGGTTGGCTAGTTAAATTTCAACCATGATCAGCGCATACATTGAAACAAGGACAGAGTAACTCTTACTAAGAGTAGTGTGACTCTCTCGAAGTTTGCTAGCAGCAGCTAGGCTAGCACCAGCGCAGCTAGTTCATGTAAACATGGCCGTTGTCGTTCGTTTCTCTGTAGCTTGTGTTTTGTGCAATGTGGACACAATATCGTGATAAAAAACCAAGTATTCTTTTCAGTATAGGAAACCTCAAAGTTTATCATTATATTTTATTATCTCATAATTTGGAATGGACGTGAATATTATTGTTTACAAAGCAGCATCGTTGAAATATTAGTCAAAGTGATTTTGTTGGAAGATTTAATACTTACTGTAACGTACTATATACGAACAAATGCCTTACTTTTCTCTAAAAAAAGTTCAAACTCAACTTCACAGGATGAACAGACTTTCCACACTATCCAAGATCTCACAAGATAGTAATAAAAGATACAATCTATTGTTTAAAACTTTTTGTTGATTTGTAAGGTTATGTTGTTCGTTATCTCCTACATCCAGCCGCCGCCAAAGCGTCGCCGAAATGTAAGTGTATAGATATATTTTATACAGGACCTTACTTTATAAACCTAATTTATTAGTGTATTACTTTTATTTTAAACAAAGTAAAATTAATACTCATATGCAAATGAACCAATCTTAACAATAAAATCAAGATTTTTAATATAACTTTCGATTTTTTTGTCTTTCATGAGCTTTACAAATAAATTTCACATTTCTTTTATTCATTTTACAAATAAATTTTGTTACGAGAGCCTATAAATTTACTACATCTCATAAAATATATGTTTCATAATATTATTTAATTAAATAAAATTAATGAAATTGAAGGCATAATTTTTATATTTACAACAATTTAACATCACATTTTATTTTATTTTTTATTGCGTTAATAACTTTATG